CCCCCCCCCAAGGCTGATGTGTCTGCTCCTCGTCTCCTGACCTGGGCCCTGTCGGCCACCTTGCTTGAAGACGATAGTAGAGATTCTGGGGTGGAAGCATCCAGAAGGCCTCTACCCCAACCTGCCCCACCTTTCGCTTCATTCCTCCTCCATTTTTTCCCGCACCTCCGCTGGCAGGCCCTCGTAAAGGGTGTCCTCCACCAGGAGCCCCACTCTCTTGAGCCCCACACAGTTGCCAAGTTCTTCTGGCAGAGCCTCCAAGCGGTTGCCCTTGAGCTCCAGGCGGCTGAGGGCCCTGAGGGCCCCCACTTGGGGCGAGAGCTGGCTCAGGTGGTTGTAGCCCAGGAGCAACGTCCGCAGCTTGCGGCAGAAGAAGAGCTCCTCCGGCAGGGCCTCCAGGGCGTTGTAGGACACAGCCAGGTGCTGCAGGCTCTGGAGGAGGCCCAGCTCGGGCGGCAGGGAGCGCAGCCCGTTGTGGGAGATGTCCAGCAGGCGGAGGCCGGAGCAAAGGCCGAGCTGGGTGGGCAGGGTCTCCAGCTTGTTGTGGCTGAGGTAGAGCTGCTCGAGGCCCCGGAGCTTGCGCACGTGCTCGGGGACGTAGGCGATCTGGTTGTGCCATAGCCTGAGCGTGACCAGCTTGCGACAGTGCTGGAAGCTGAGGATCTCTTCAATGGACCGCAAGCGGTTGTCCTTGAGGTCAAGTTCCTGCAGCGCCCCCAGGCTGAAGATGGCATGGGGGATGCGCTCCAGCCCGCAGGCCACCAGCTCCAGCTCCCGCAGCGCCGCCAGCTTCTTGAGGCTGTTCAGGGCCAGCAGGCGGGCCCCGTCGTTGTGCAGACTAAGCCGCTGCAGATGCCCGGCCACGTCGGTCACGCTGGCTGGCACCTTGCTGGCATTGCTCCGAAGAGACAGCACCTTGAGCTGCTTCAGCTCCCGGAGGCTCTCGAGGGTCGCCGCCCGAGCCAGCTCCGGGGGGAAGAGCCCCTCGAGGTGCAGCTCCTCCAGGCCACGCAGCCCGAACACCCACAGGGGCACCTCGCGGAGCTCCTCACACTTGACCCGGATGACCTTCAGGCGGTCCCGCAGGAAGATCTGCAAGGAGAAGGGCAGCCGGGCGGGCGAGTGAAGCAGGCTGAGCTCTTGCAGGTGCACCAGCTGCGAGAGGCCCGGGGGGAAGGTGATGTCGCAGATGGCCTCCAGCCGGAGCGCCTCCACCTCGCTGAGCTCGAAGACGGTGTCGGGCAGCCCCGGGAGCATGCAGAGGGCCAGCTCGAGCCGGCCGCGGGCGTTGCGCTGCAGCTTCTGCCGCAGCTTCTCGGGCGTCCACTCGTGGTTCAGGTTGAGCTGCTTCAGGCGGCTCTCGCTGACCTCGGAGAGGAAGACGGCAAAGCGCTTGGAGTAGAGGGAGTCATACTGGTCGATGAGGTGCAGCATGAAAGCAAAGTCGTTCTTGACGTCGGGGATGTCACCCATGCCCGTCTCCTCCCGCACAGAACGGAAGGAGTACTCCTTGAGGGGCCGGTGGAAGAGCCAGTAGAGGGTGTAGAGACAGGTGATCCCGTAGACGCACACAAAGGAGATGTAGCAGAAAGCCAGCTTGGAGAAGAGGTGGGCCTTCGTGTGGTTGCAGCAGAAGCTGGCGTAGCCCGTGACCTCCGAGGTCTCCACCCTGCAGGCCACCAGGAAGCTGATCTTCTCCACGTAGACCAGGTTGTAGACCAGGATGGCAAAGAACTTGCAGACTTTGAGCACCGTCTGCCGGATGTACATGGTGTACAAGATGTCCCCCTCTTCCACGTGCACGCGGAACTTCTTGACCTTCTCAAACAGGGCTTTGGCCTGCTCACCCTCCTTCTTGTCCAGTAGGGTGACGGCTGGTGGCTCAGTCACCACCTTCTCGGGCTCCACCAGCACCTTTTCCTTCTCACCCTCATTGGCTTTTCCTGGCCCCGCCGAGGCCTCCACTGTTGCTGTCGCCCGTCCGGTGGTGGGGCCCTTCTGGTTCTCCCCAGAGACCTCGGACAGGGCCCGTGTGGTCCACGGAGAGTCGAAACACTTGCCCAGAATGGAGATGAAGTGCTCGATCTTGGAGCTGGTGCCGGGGAACTTGAACCAGAAGCTGGTGCAGACCATGAAGATGAGCGTGTGAATGACGACCAGGTAGGGGAAGTACTTGGCGTACCAGTGGAGGGCTGTCTCGTAGCAGAGCTGGTTAATGAAGCTGTACTGCTGGAGGTCCAGATTGTTCTTGAGGCCGCTTACCTCCCGGAGGCCCCCCATCTGCTCGGAGACGCCCCGAGGCAGCAGTTGCTGGCAGGGGGCCTCTGAGAAATTCTCCCGGAGTTCGTGACTGGGCAGACAGATGATCTTGTCCTGTGTCACCTGGGAATGAGGGGGAAAGAGGGCCAAGGAGCTGGGATGGCCTGCACGGTTGGGGGCAGAAAGGCAGGCTGAAGGTGGGAGACCCCAATCCCTGACTGTCCCCAGCGGGCTGTGACTTTGGAAGAGTCACTAAACTTCTGAGAATCAATCTTTGTCTGAAAAAAAGGAGTTAGGTTGAATTGCATCTTCCTTCTCCCTCCGGCGCCTAC